CCTGGAACCCATCTTAAACCCAGCCCCAAAGCCTAGTGATGCTGAGGAAGCTGAATCGATACTAAGGATTTCAAAACGATGCCGGACCTGAACCTACCTTAAAAGGAACCTACACCTACCCCAAACCCACCCTAAGCTTACCACAAACCTTGCCGAGCCTACCTGAAACTTAGCTTAGCCCACCCAGAATTGTAGACTGAAATGCTGCTCTTTCGTGCGCGCCAGGCTGTGCCAGGGTTACGCAAAAACCAACACCTCAGCCTGAAAGCCCTCCAAGTATCTACTTGTCTTAGGGTATCATAACCCCTGACTACAAAGGGATATATTTTCATGGGAAGCCAGGGTTTTCAGATTATACCCGTAGAAAAGTTGGAATTTGGACGGGAGGAAAGTAGAACGGCACCATCGATGACCACATTCCTTTCATTTTGGGTTTCCCTCCTGGCCGGTCCCCGTTCTACCCATCCACAGAGAAAATGGGCCAAACCCGCCGGAACAAATTGGCACTTCCTGAAGAGACTGGTTCGGCCCTCAGATATCTGGTTTCGTTTGGGGCAACCCGTCTTCCCTTGCTAAAGGAAAACCGAAAAGGACGCCAACCATTTCAAAGCCCGAATGAGACAATGCCCATGGGGTTTGACGGTCTTTCGGTGTGGTGGGGAACACCCGCGACACTCACGACGCGCGCCAAGGAAGGTATGCTCACGGCTTCCTGTGCAATGGTGAGGCCGGGTGCAACGAGAAGTTCAGCTTGACCTTCACAGGCCTCCAGGAGAAGCAGATCTGCAAATTCAGGCTCGACCCGCATTGGTTTGCGTGCGGATATGTGGCACACGCGACAGGGTTGCCGGGACCGGCCTCAAGGCCAAACCGCGCTTGGGTATGAAACTAGTCCTTTTGTGTTCCTTGTGCTTTGGGGTAAGGACTCACAACGGTTCCCAAGAAAGTGCAGCAACGAGCCTCAGGTTTCAACCGTTATTTTGACCGTGCTTCATATGGGCCGTTGGACCTGTGTGAACTGTGTCAAGAGTTCCTCTCCGATTTTCCTCGTTCAGCCAACTTCAAAACAATACAAAACACAGAAGGCGGCCTCCAAGCGCCTGGCCACTAGGGCGTTTCAGCCTGATGTCAACCTCGGAATCCGCAGGACCATACTCGCAGAAATCCCCATGAATCAAATCGAATCCCAAAAGGGGAACGCTTTGAAGGGTCAAGCTCCTAGTTTTAATATTTGCAAGGCACGCGTTGGGAATTTCCAGCCGCATGGGCTCAACTTTAGCTACCCTTGACCCAGCCAGGAGACACGACATGCAGGTTGGGATTTTTGCACGCACCCCCCCCTCAAAAAGGCTCTTCAAAACGGGGCCTGAAAGAGGGAGTGGTGCCCTTCGGTTGCACCCCACTTTTTGAAAGACAAGCCCAACGAGGCATCCCATGGATTTTTGTTCGGCCTCTCTTTACACAAGTTGCAATTTCTATAATGGTACCCCGAGAATGGTCGCTCTCCATCATGTGTCGCTGCACCAGATCAGTTCGACCCCCCCACCAGTTACATCTTTGGTGATCTTTCTATTTTTATCCTAGATTCTAAGGAACGTCACAAAATACTCTCTCATACGAGAGAGGGGAACATACCGACGGCTAATCTCAAACACACAAACACCTTCTAGTTTTGGTGCCTAACCAGGAACAAAAACGAGTTAAGCCCACAACCCTGGATGCTGAGTTGTCCAACAAGCAGCTAGATTTCCACAATCAATGATCTTCCAGTCGCTGGAGCTCATGGAAATCGAGCTGTTTGCTGGACAACTCAGCAGGATCCAGGTTGTTGCCCGATGTTTTTGGTGTGGTTGGACAACCGCTTTTTGGTCGTCGGTAGATCGATATTCGCCGTCGGTTGAATTGGTTTGGTATTTTTTCGGACCCTTCTCCACCAAAATGATAAGACACATGTTCAGCATCAAGACCTAGTTTACGCTTCACAACTCCACGATGCGTGTTAAACTCAGTTCATTGGGGTGTTGTTTGGGTCTGCGTTATTTTTGGAGGGTACCATGTTTTTGGGTGGTTCAAAGGGAAACCGCAGGAAAGCCACCATTTTGGTGGTCCGGCCCCATTTTAACACACCCACCTCGGTCCAATTTTCAGTGATTCATGTGGCAGGGACAAATGCGGGCTCACTCAATTTCCAGCACCTGGGCAGAAGGCCTAATTGTCTCATACCCTTTCGCAAGAACAAGTAATTCTGACCGTGGCTTGGAGGTACTTTGGGTTCCAGGACAAGCCCATCGGCAGCAACTGCCGCTACTCCTTCTTCGCCAACGACGTGGAGAAGGCAAAGTCCATCGAAGGCAAGTGTAGCTCCGTGGACGAGTGCGTGCCGAATGCGGAGGGGGAGGCAGGGGGTGTCAGGGTGTCACACGGCGTGGGGGGTGGGGGTCTGCAGGTTGGTGGTGGGGGAGAGGGGCATGGACACTTAAATCCAAGTTTGCAAAGTCCAGAATCCCAATAACCCACGACCCTCAAAGAACATGGTTGATTTAGGGCTCGTCCATTTGGAGTCAAACCTAGATTTAAATGAGTTACTGGCAACATCACAGTCTACCGTTGGCTTCGAGAGGATTTGCAGTACTCAGATTTCCCACGATGGGACCAGGGATTTTCTATCTTATTGGGCACTTGGGAAAACGGGGGCAATCAAAATAATCAAAGGATTTGACATGACACAATTTACATTTATTTGCAGCTGGGAGTGATTTTCCTTTACTGGGATATCGAGAAATGTTGATGTGAGGCATTGATTCGGCATGCCAGGCTCAGGCCGACAGCGAGGGCAATCTGGTCTTCCGCTGGCAGCGCCACAGTGGGGGCCACATGGTGCTCTCGGGCTTCCAGCTCGCATGCGTGCCGCTGGCAGCTTGGAGCTCAAAGGTTTGAAGTCCCTGGGGGTCAAAGACCTCATCAGGTTATATACATATTTTGTGTATATATATATATATTTCTGTAGGTGGGAAATTGCTGGTTTTTAGGTTGCCAGCCACCTTCGGTGGCCAAAGGCATTCTCCTTCGAAGTAATAAAGCTCCTTGACGTAGCACAGCAATCAGGGTTGGATGGGAATCAACCACTTTGGTGGTATCACACAGCTGAATGCCCGCAAAGGTGGCTAAGGAGGGTCCTATTTGCAGGGTTGGACAACATATGTTTAAGACAGCCGCAGACCGATGCCCTTTGAAGGGAACCAAAACGGATGCTCTTTACACATCTTGCTTCCAACATACGATTGCTTCAACTCATGCGATTGGGCCCAGTAAAAAACTTGGCGATTCTTGGCGAGGCCAATGTGGTCTGGAGTTCGGATCGACCCGAGGAGTTCGGATGAGGATGGACCCGGTTGACGCCGTTGAGATAAAATGCCCCATAAGAGACTGATCTACCTGATCTACCTTGGTTGATCAGGGCTTCTCATTTGATGTCCTGAAATTGGGAATGTCCTTTTTGTTGAAGGGAAGACAAGAAAGCCCCTTGAAAGTGACACAGTGGTGACGGAACGATGGAACAGCTGCGCGTATGAACCCGTATATGAACCTCTTATGAAGCCCCAGGCTCGATATGGCAACGTTCACTCGGTCCATGCACTCAATGGAGTCAGGGCTCCGTGTTTTGAGTAGTCCTAAACCGAAGGAACCCCCAGCTAAGAGTGGATCGTACACTGGAGGTTACCCCCTCTTGTTTGGTTGAAAGCGGGAAGCAAAAGGAAACCACCCATTGTTGGGTCCCTAATTTGAGACACCTGCAACCCCTTACAAATGGAATTGGGGGAGGTATATAGTAGATCTCTAGATGATCTCCAGTTTCATTGTTCCTTACAAATTGCTGGGCGCAATTCGTTTAGCAAAAGAAACCTTGGTTCCCTTTACAGGGAAACCACTCCAAAAAGGGTCCTCGAGTCAAAATGCTCAGGGCAGCCGCATCTCTGAGACCTGCTATGCGCGTCGGCCCCTCGTGGCGGACGAAGGTCCCGGTCCCTTGGCCAAGTTGAAACGAAGCGTGTTCTGACTTTCATGGAACCCCCAAAGAAGTGGCGACCCTGGATGAGCAAACCGCTTATTGTCAGGGTGTGGGGGCTCCTCCAAAAGTTACTAAAACAAGAGTCACCCCATATTATATATCAATTGAGGTTTGTTGATCCTGGTTTGACACGTCCTTTTCCAACAAGAGAAGTGGACACGGGGCGCAAGCCCCAGGACTGTTTTCCCAAACCGATCGGCCGGCTGCCATGGTTGGAGGGATGCGTACTTGCTTGCTCTCTGGGTTTGCTCGGGATCCTTTTGTGGGACATTTGTGGAGAGTCTCAGTGTTTGAATCATTGCGGAATTCCTTAGCGGAAGGTTTTGCAGGGGTCAAAGACTAAGTCAAAAAAAGGTTGGAAAATAGTGGTTTTAGCCAGTTTTAGACATGTAACAGTTGGATGGCCAAGCCCCCCAAAAAAGGGGGCTGTCAAAGATTCCTGAAACACAGTATTCCACCACCGGAGCCTGATTTTTGCCACAATCAGGATCCTCACAAAGGCAATTCGTTGCTTCTGTCGAACGGGGTAGAGACATATTTGGTTGATTTGGCGGGGTGAACACCCACATGGCCGCCGGACCACATAAATTGTCATTGGCATCTTTAGGGCGTGCAGCCATAGCCGTCTGAAAACACAAGCATTTCTGAAGGCAGCTGCCATGTTGGTTTTGAACATGGGCTGTCTCCGTTTTGGGCTTCCTTCCAATATAAATGGCGTGCCTCACAACCAGATATCCTGCTCTGTGCACCAGTTGCCCTCATGTGATGGAGGCACACACACCCACACACATGCCATCTCTTTGTAGTTCATTCCTGTTCAGATTGTTGCGGATTAGGGTTGCACTTTCAGAAAGAATTTCAAGACCATGTTATTGGAGGAGCAAATGTATTTCAAGGAAAGGCATCTCGTTTTGTCTTGTTCGAACACTGGAAGCACCCCACCCTACCAGATAGCTGTGAGCCTGTGCAGCCCCTGAGTACACCGAAACATGCTCAGATTCTGCGACTTTGAAATACGGAATAGGAGATCCCATCTGAGGTGTCGGGGACCTCAAGTCCGTGGACTCTTTCGATGATTGCACGCAGATGTGCACTAGCATCTCCGGGTGCGACAGCTTCGCGATGTGCACGGGTGGAATGAACTGCCACTTCAAGAAGAAGGTGGTCACCCCAACTGAAGCCAGCAACCCTGACCAGACGCACAGTCTCAACATGGCACTTTGTGGGAATGTCGAATATGTTTTGCAAACAGGCCCCTTTTGGCTGGTTTGCAAAGGATTCCACATTAAAACCATCCATTTTGGGGCCTTGTTTTGGTTTTGCATTTCTCTCCCTTTGCAAGAGCTCTTTCCTGTGTAGATAGCTAACCACCCCTCAAGCTAAACGGTCTTCCAAAAAGGGCGGAGTTCTTCTGAGCCAAAGAATCCGTCCAGACTGGGTTTGCCTCAGGAACAGGCAGAACGATTGCGGCACCTGGTACAAGGTCAAGTGCCCGAAGGCAATCGATCCGACTCGGATCGATTGGTGCCACTAGGAAGGAGGAGGGCTCCTCGCAACCCATGTGATGTGGTCAAAAGACGGGTTCCTTTAGGGTTCCTATTAAGGAAGCATGATGGTCCATGGAAGACCTCGCACGGGAGGGCTGGGCGAAGCTGGCATGGAACGAGGAGCAAGTGGGGGTTTAGCTCATTGCCACTGTGGCAGACGGATCTCGCGTGGTGCCGCTACGGTTGTGGTGCCGAGACTGCCGAGCAATCGATGGGCATCTCGGGTGTTGGAATACGTACGCAGTCATGGGAATGCATCAGACGATTGAGTGCCGTGCTTGCTCAGGTGCTCGCATATGCACGTTGCGCAATGGCGTAGCACTGCGCATTCACGTGCATCTTGCTGTCGAAGGACTTGAGCTGCTGGATCTGCAGTGGATGCTTTGCGTCAAGGTTTGGCCTGAAGACCTTACAGTGGGTGGACTGGTTGCCGTTCGTTCGATCAATTGTGCGTGTTGCGTTGCGCCCAGGTGCTCGCAAGTAGACGCAATGGCGCAATGGTGCAGCTTGTGAGTCTTGACGTCGGAACACTCGTTCAGACCCTGTCGTAGCTTTCTGGCAAGGTTCGCACTCTGCTCGGACCTTGTCATAGAGGTCGTGTGTCTCCTGAAGCAGCCCCTGCTCAGCCCTGCGGCAGCCGCCAGTCCGTGGCGGCACCGCTAGGTTTTCGAAGGTTGATCCAAATCTTTCTAGGGTTTCTTCGATCCTGACGCAGTTTTTTTTTGCTCCATCAGCAGTACAATATTGCTGAGAGAAGGAAGTGGCGCATGTTGGGGAAAGCATGCAAGTCTCCACCCAGATCAATGCGATGCTGCGCCCTCCAGACCCTTGCTGCGTTTCATGCACTACGCAAGCTTGACGCTCCAAGAGATTGGAAATATGTCTCAGGATTGCATAATCGTTTATCCTTTCCGAGGGTATCTGGCAGGTTGTGTTGATTGGACGCCAAGGGGAAGCCGCCCATTTGTTCGCTCAAGGAGGGAGATCCTGGCCTTGTGCTGCGCGCATCCAAAGGAATTCTCTCGTAAGTTCAAGGACTGGGGCTGGGAATCAACCATTTTGCTATCACAACAAGGGGGCCCATGTTCCATTTGCCGCAATAGTTTTGGGGGGAATCGCGGCTCCGCAAGGAATTTAGGCCCCGAACATCTCTGAATCTTTCCTTTTCGGGGGTCTCCTCCGGTATTTAAGGTCGACTAAGTATGTAACCTAAAATGAACATGGGGCCAAGTTGAGTTCCTGAACGCGTTTCCTCAATCCTGCGCCGCGAAAGTATGGAGGCTAGCTGACAGTGAGGCGGAGGCAGTGAAGCAAGCTGTCGGATTTCAAGCAAGTTGTTTGCCCCAAACGAGAGTTTGGGGCTGTTAGATTTGAAGTGACGTCCACAACCTCTTTGACTATGGCAGCTATGACAAAGTTGACGCAGAGTGTGAAAAGCCAAATTCTGACGGTCCGCCAGTAGCCATCAGCTATGGCTCGAAGTAATCTTTAAACATAGCAAATGAGTGTTTGACACGTGGGGGTTGCTTTCCGGCAGAGACCATTTTTGGGCTTAATTCAGACTCATGCTTGTCCATTGCACGTGCCAAGTTTTTGGTTGCAGGTGCTGGAGACGACGTGACTTGGCCCACTTGAGCGAAATCACGGTCCTTGCAACTGAATTGTTCCCCACAGGGAAGGGCAAATCCAATCGCTGAAGAGTTGGTTGCCCTTTGTGATTAGAGGTTGGTTGATCAGGTCAACATCGTTTTTTATACGTTTCTGGAGGGCTCTGATTTGTGTCAACCGAGGACCACCACCACAACTACCACCACTTTGGGATTGGTGGTGAAGGACGCCAATAGTTTGAGTTGGCTCTGGTCAAGCGACATGCTCAAAGGCCTGAATGATTAGAATGAGGGTTGTGAAGTACTTCAAAACCGCGATTATAATATTGCAACTATTTAGGCCTTTGTGTTACCGCCATTTTCTTGGCTTGGGAGGCCACCGAAGAACAGCGTCCGGAGAGACGCTCCAGTCGCGGCAGGACCTAACCTCTTGCTTCAACCACTGCGAGGGCGATCGCTGTGACGCGGTGTCCTTCAATGAGCGGCCCGGTTTGTCAAACGCCTTCTGCGCCGTTCAACGCCATCCGGGTTGCCAAAGGGGAAGCCCCTTTGTGGGGGAAGTTATCCCATCCTTCCCTTGGATTGCTAAAGGGCTCCTTGTGATTGTGCAGGATTGGCCAAGTTCTCGTTGAACGGCTCCGTCTCTGAATCAGGCATACATCCCATTGAAAGTACAGGGGCCGCCCACCAGAACGTTTGAGCCAGTGAGCCAGATACGCCTGGGCAAATTATCACGAGCTCTTATTTTTGGTTTAGGAATTACAAACGGTTTTATGGACACTGCCCCTTTGCAAGCGTAGAACATTCTTGCTGCACTGCGTAGCTCGCTGTCCATTCTTCACCGGTTTGTCAAAGGCAGTCTCTAGGGTAGAAGATATTTAGCCTTCATCCAGTCTCACGGCCACTCACCGTGATACCACCGGAATCCCCAACGTTGGTATCGCCAAAAGAGCTACTTTCTTAATGAACAGCACCTTTGGGTGGAGGAGAGGATGTGCCTTTCCTTTTCAGCCAGACACATACTGGTGGGTATTGCAAGGACACAGAAGTACAACCCTCGACCTTTGTGTTTGGTTTGTTGCAGACATATTTTTCCCAGACTTAAGGCGCACCAACGAATGCCACATGTACGACGCACCTCCGCTGGGATATGGCAATTACATCGACGAGAGCGATGCGGCCTGGAAGAAGGTACTCAGAAATCGCACCAACCCACCCAGTGTAGGATGCTTCTTGCATCCCCAAACGGAAACCCTGAAATGTTGCGCATTTCGTGGGTTTTGTGGTTGGACGCGTTTGGTTTGCAGGGAATCTCCCGCATCCAAGAGGCGGGTAAAAAGGGGGGACCGTAACGCAACCACTTAAAGGGCATATTTAACGTACTTCAACTGATTGTCTATGGGGGGGGGGGCGGGGTGGATTCAAAACGTCCCAACCTGCAGACCAACAAAGGCCCCCCTTTCAAGCGTGAACATTGTTATTTAACATGGGGTTCGAGAGAGAGGATCCCCGCGCAGACCAGTATCACTTGGCCCTTGAAGCTTGCCAGCCGACGTCTCTTCCGGGTGGCCCCTTTTCGAACAGCCACTGCTGGTGCCCTATAAAGGGACACTGGTTGGCTCAAGCCTGCTCAGAAAGGGAGTAAGGAAAGAATGCCAAAAGAGACCGAGACTGCACAGGAAGGATAGGACATAATTTTGATGCGTTGCCTGAATGAGGCTGAGGGTGAATGAAGCCATGGCCATGACAGAAAATCGTTTGAAGCTAAAGTTGACCTCCTGGGTAGTTGATTTGTTTTTCCCGTAGAAACCTGTGTCCCTTGCAAATTCAAAGGGACACCAAAAGACAGCTACCCAGTCCCTGTTTGTTGATGGACAAACTACACTTGGCAGCGCCTGTGATGGATGACACCTTGGAAATATTGGGACGCAGATTTCCTTTTTTTTGGCCATCCCCGGTGCTTGCTCACATAAAGGGAATTGCACCATCTACTTTCGCCATGGTGTAAACCACCGAAAGCCAATGGGATTTATCAACAGTACGTTGGCCAGCATCGTGCTGTCACGGGCCTGAGGTTACATGCTACACCAAGGCGGGGGGACGAGGAGGATTGCTCGAAAAGACAGGGTCCTCATGTTGGACCCTAGTTGCCTGAATTTGCTCCGAGGCTACCCTCTTTTGAAGTTGTGGAGGGACGGCTCCATTGAATTCACACCCATGTGTGCCATTTGTCGCAACACCTGCTTACTTGTGCTCGATCTCGCCCTGAAGGTCCCTACAAAAGGTTGGTTCCCTTTCTGCCAATCGCTCGGAGTCCCCAACACCCCTTAAACATATTTGTTGTTGGGGGGTGGGGGCGTAGTGTACCCATAAACCGGCAAAAAAGGGTCATGGAGACTCTTTCAGCACCCGTAACCGTGGCCGTGTGTCCTGACCAGGCCCCGCTGGGATGGTCGGAGTACAAGTTATCGCCCAGCAAGAAATGGGACGAGCGCTGTGCCGGCGCCTCGCCGAAAACTAGCTACCCTCACCTAAGGCTCTAAGGTTGTAGGACCTTGTCTTGCTTTCCGCTTTCGGGCGGGGGTGCCTGGCTGCCATAAACTCGGCATGATGTTTGGGGTTCTCTTCCGCGATCCGGGTGGATCCCACTCCGCCTATACGGCTAGCTCACAGATTCGGAGGTAAAACGAGCTGACCATGATGCAGATCCGGTTAATTTGAAAATAGTTATTCGTGGGTTTTGGAGTTGTTGTAAAACACACAGCAACACATACAGTTTATAGTCGGTCACCAGCCATCTTTCTTTTATGTTTTGCAGCTTGGTTCCCTTGGCTACTTGCCATACAAGGGAATGGAGTCATTGGTCAAGGCTCCCGGACCGTTTGTTTTTGTTTTACACATGGCAGGTTTCACCTTTCCCGCTCGCACTTGTTCCGAGTTTTTGGGATTGGGGTGCTGAACGAGTTTTGGGGTTCCTTGTAATATCCTTCTGAAAGGGGCAGGGGGCGTCAGGAATGTGGGTACTATCATTTGGTTATAGCCCACAAACGCCATGATTGTAAATCCCCACCGGGTTACCAACCACTTGCTGCGTACCTTGACCCTTCAAGTAGGACCTGTACGATTTTGTCCAATCCCCAACCGGGCCCAAAAGATAGGGTGTGGGTCGGCAAACAATTAGGATGACCGCTTAGACTTCCACTCTGTGAGAGGATGCTGAATGGAAGCCTTAGTTTCACCAAGGCCAAGGTGAATCCCAAGCAACCATATTTACAAGGAGAATGTGTTTGGGGGAAGGAAGAGACAAATATGGTTGACAAGGTGAATCCTTCCAACCCCCAGAGCGAGGCGGGGAGGAGAAATGCGACATCGAGGGCGGCAAGCTGCTTGGTGTGGGGGAGAGCACTAGGAAGAGAGGTGCCATTTTTCCAATCTTTGTGGGGGTGACCCTTGAACATTTGTTCATGGGTTTGTTACACAGTTTGGTTGTTTGTTTGTTTGTTTGTTTGTTTGTTTGCCCCGGAACATTAAACCACCGATGACCTGTTCCCTTGTTCTTTGGTGGGTGACCCTTTTAACATGCACCAACAGACACTTGGTGACCTTTTTATCCCTGGCCCCTGGACTGGAGAATCATAGGGGGATTTGTCGGATAGTACAGTCCTCCGGATAAGTCCGAAGTCACATCACAATTTTGGTTGGGGACAGGCCCAACCAAGAGGTGCGGAAACTTTTCACGGTTTGGCAAACCCCTTCAATTATCAGGTGTTGATTCTGACTCTGCCCAGCCTTTTCGCTAAATGGACGTAACATGGGGCACCGTTTCCTTTTGGCTTCTTCGACCCCTTTGGAAACTCATGGCCTAGCTGATGCTTGAATCTTCCGACCCCAAGCACTCAGCTTAAGCGATGAAACGCCCGCCTGTTCAGGGGACGCTTTCAATTTCAAGAAGACTTGCAGAGGGCATGGCTTGTGTTGAGAGTACCTTTGGGGTGGCTTGAGAGGAACACTAAGGGGAATCCGAAACCCATTTGGGGTGCTCCATTGTTTTGACCCACATCGTCGTTTTTGTTTTGTTTGAGCCCATGAACTAAAAGGTAAACGGGGCGTCCAAAAAGCAGGTCAGGGGGTTGGAAACACAGGGTCTCTTGATGTTCAGTTCATGTTCAAATGAGATTAACATAATTCAAGGAGGGGTCCCCAAATCACAAGGCGAAAAACTCACTCGCTCAACAACGGCCTTATGACCCTTTGGTTTCCCCAATTTGGTCTATATTTGTTCAGGGTTCCAAAACAAAGAAGAGGGGCGGCCGGAGTGAAGTCAGGAACTTCAGAAAACTCTGCTTGGAGTGGTGCGCGGATGACAACGCCACGAAGTCCACGCCTCAGTCACTGCGAGAGACTGCAGCAGGTTGGGGCAGCGGATGGGTGGCAAAACCTCCCAGACACCTTCATTGTCCTTTTGTTAAGTGGGAGACTATTCCATTCCCGCAGGCCCAGGGCAGAGGCAAAAGGCAAGTTCATTTGCTTCGTGACTGCCCATGTTGCGCGCCAAATTCCATTTTGAGGGTACTCCCTGCAGATTCACACGGAACCAACATCGCCCTCAAAATGGGATCAGACTTTTGTGCTTCCAAATTTGGAAGCCCGTGGGAGAAACCTTCATTCGTGTTTTTGTCTCAAATAAGAGAGCCCCCAAAATGAGAGGCTTCCGTTTGGTGTCCCTTTGAAGCAACCCAAGAGCACATCGACTCAAACCCCAACAGAGGTGTCAAAGGGCAAACCCGCCCTCAAACGCCTCAGACGCCTCAACCCCAAAAGTGTGGCATCCACAAAAAACACACACACACACCTGGTTTTTCTTTCCCGCCTCTTTCCCCGACTCGGGTTCGCTTGCAACCGCATGACACCGGAGGTTCTGCAGCGTGGACATCAGCGGCCGGAAGAAGCCCTGCTGCCGGCGCGGCCCCAGCTGCGAGGAGCTGGAAGCCGCCGGCCGCGCCTGGGACGAGAACTCGGGACCTGGGTTAAAGCGCTCGGTGACATCGGCCCAGGTTCCATTTAAGACATCCTGAAAATTAGCCAATTTGTGGGTGAAGGGGAAACTCTCAAAAGTAATTTTGGGAACCCCTCGACATAGTTATTCACTTTAAGGAGCTTTGATGGCGTGTGTGTCCCTTTTGGGGAATGGTTTTGTGTTTTTGAGACCCTGGTTTCACAGATTCATACTAGTACGGGTTTTGTGTTTTTGAGACCCTGGTTTCACAGATTCATACT